TAGTGTGTGATAATTTTCTTTTAATACGTTGGTAAGTGCATCTATTGTCATTCCCTTGGAATCTGAAGGCTAAAATGCTATAAAGATAAGTATGTTTGAGAAGTTATAAGCAAAGTATAATATGTATATTTATTTAGAAGAAATATGATATTGTGTTTTCCCATTAGAATTGAAAACCTCAGATTGTGCTACAGTCCTTCAGTTCTTTTGCTAAATATTGGCTGTAACCTGAATGTGACAGTAGTTAGCATGAATGCTGAAATCGTAGTTTTGCCACTTGAAATATGGCTGGGTGAGGTAATAGTGTCCTTTGGTGAGCATTTTGAGTTTTGTGCTTCACATCTGTAAAGTGATAAAATTCTATTTTACTTTCCTGCTATGATGCGTCTACAGTGGGCTGCAGAATTGTAAAATTAAGCATTCTACATACACACACAGAGAACCACCTACACCTCTTCAGAGCTATCCTACTTTGTCATTAACTTCAGATGCCTTTTCTTCCCCAAAGCAACCTCATGTATCTTGGACAGTGTTTCATCTGCCTTATTTTTACTGCCCGCCTCCTTTGTACCTCTGCACCTCTCTATGTGAAACTGTTTCTGGTTGTGGGTCCTCTTCTGGAATTAGCTGATTAAATTATAGACTCTTATTCTGAATCCTTTAACTACTGTCAAAACATATTTGTGTCAAGGTTTCAATCCCTGTCATCATCTGAGAAGCCTTGATTAGTTCACTCTGAAGAATTTCTTTTTATAATGAGAGCATTTCTTAGCATCTTGACCTTTCAGATCATTTATATCAAGACTAACGTTCCAGGACTTTATTTTAATGAATATACAGTTGTCAACACTTTTCATCTTCTTTTTATACTCTAAATCATGTTACTTTTGGTAAGTTATTTCTTTCTAATTAGCTTTCATGTTCAGATGGTAAAAGATAAATAATGCAATTAGTTACAGTTTTATTATTGATACATCAGGATTTGGTTTGTAAATGTATATTATGGAATCGTATGTATGGTAATATAAACTATTTGTAAGTTATGAAGCATAATGATGGAAGATGTATTCATGAACTCATCATACAAATTAAGAAATAAAATATTTGTGTTACCACTAAGCTATCCATGTGCTCCTTTTCAAATCCTGTTCTGTTTTCCTAGTTGGAGAAGATAGCGCTATCTTGGATTTTTGCTTCTTTTTGGTATTCTTTAGCGTTATCACAGAACAGATCCTTACACATTATACTGTTTGGTTCTCGCACCTTTGATCTCATGTAAATGATATGACACTCTGTGCAGCCTTCTGCTGTAGGTGTAAAGTGACTCTTGATTAGTATTGGAAAATACCTGCTTTAATTTTAATCACATATTCAGTGAGATAAAAGGTAAAATCTAGAATCTAAATGGATAACTGGAAACTATAAAAAGCAAACTACATCAGAAGATGCAAATCAAAAAATACGCCATAGTCAAGATTTAGACTTTGGTGTTTGATTTAAAGTTAGATTAGAGATCATTAGGAAAAGTGGAGCAAAGACCTCCAAAACTCTTCCTTTCATAAAATCAATGAAAACATTTCCCAAAATTACCAAAATAAACTTTTTTAAAACTCCGGAAAATAACCAAAGGCTTGTACTCATCTGGAAGCACTTATATTGAAGAAAACCAGCTAACTCCAGGTAAAAGAGTGAGTTTGTGATATTTTTACTTGCTCTGTTCACATCAGCCTCTCCCAGCTCCATGACAACCTTGAAAATCAAATGCTGCGATCACAACCAGCAGCAAAGCAGCCACTCAAAGCCTTAGAATGGGACTCGGCCTTTTTCAAAGTCCTGGTCTCAGGTGACTGTCATCATCTGACCTGTCTGGGCCTTCTGTAGAAAGTCACATTGTAAAGCTTGTCTTCCGTACTCCCGGTGCAGACATTGCCCAGGGTGAGCAGCCTTTTCTTAGACGGTGTTTGTCAGCATGTGGGAGGCTGAGGCAGGCAGATCATGAGGTCAAGAGATCAAGACCATCCTGGCCAATACGGTGAAACCTGGTCTCTACTAAAAATACAAAAATTAGCTGGGCGTGGTGGCAGGTGCCTCTCATCCCAGCTACTTGGGTGGGTGAAGCAGGAGAATCACTTGAACCCAGAAGGCAGAGGTTGCAGTGAGCCGAGATCACTCACTGCACTCCAGACTGGCGACAGAGCAAGACTCTGTCTCAAAAAACAAAAACAAAAACAAAAACAAAAAAAACACATAAACAAACAGAAGTTATAGTTCAATAACATAGCTGCCTGAGATTGGGAGAACACTTGAAAGAAAAACAAGCTAAGTAAAAACCTTGAAAGTAAAATCTGGGGTAGATGGTATCCCTGGGAGTTTTCAGAAGCTGCATTGTCCCCTGGGCATCCAAAAGGCCAAGTGCAAGCGTGGGTCTCTGCACGTGGCCAGGGCTGTGCAGATGCTCAGGACGGGACCAAGAAGGGCATACGCACTCACTTCCACTGAACCTTCAGGCTCTGCACGATCATGAAGTGAGGGCTGAGGCAGAGTCATAAAGAAATGCACTCAGGCACACCATAAAAACATGTCAAAAGCCAAAGACAGAGAAAATGTGTTTAAAACAGCAAGAGACAAGCAACTCATTGCATGCAAGGAAGCCTCAGTGAGATTACAGTTTATTTATCTTCAGAAACTATGGTGCCCGGAACTCAATAGGATGATGTACGGAAAGGACAGGAAGAGGCCATTAACCAATAATTCTCTGTGCGCACAACTGTCTTCACAAATGGAGGAGAAAACACGTTGCAGGATAAAAGCAAAAACAAAAACAAAACAAAATGGAAATAATTAGTCATTTTATTCGTCTTGCAAGTAATAGTAAAGGCAGCTCTTTAGGCAGAAATAAATGACCCTAGACAGTAACTCAAAACTGCATGAAGAAACAAAGGGCATTGATGAAAGGAATTGCATAGTTAAGTATAAAAGACAATATAAATGTATTTTTTGTTAATGACATTATCTCTCTTATTTGATTTGAAAACAATTAGATAAAGTAATAATTATAAGACTATTGATGAGGTACAAAAGATAAAATACGTATTATTTTTATGGAAAATAATAAGGAGAAATTTAAGGGAAAGGAGCCTTATGAAGAGACACAAAAATAATCTCAACAAAACACTGGTAAATAGAATTTGGCAGCATATCTAAAGGACTATATAGGATGACTGCCATGGTTTCAGCTTTTAGGTTTCCCTAAAAGTTTATGTGTTAAAAACTTAATCCTGATTTGATCATGGGAGCCAAATCCTCATGAATGATTTAATGCCGTTATCACAGGCTTGGGTTAGCGATTGTGAGAGTGGGCTTGTAACAAAAGTAGCCCCTCTTGTTCTCTCTGTCTCATGTCTTGCTTTTGCCTTTCCACCTTCCCCCATGTAATGATGTCACAAGAATGCCCTCACCAGATGCCTGGGCAGACGCTGGCACCATGCTGTTGGACTTCACAGCCTCCACAAGCCAAATAAATCTCTATTTTCTATCAATTATCCAGTCTATGGTATTCTGTTATAGCATCAGAAAACAGACTAAGAAAATGACCAAGTGAGATTTTCTCCAAAACTGCATGGTTGGTTTCCTGTTAGAAAATCAAAGTAATATATTTTATCAAGGAAACAAGAACCCAAAAATACATGATCATATCAATAGACACACAAAAAAAGTATCTGTTAAAATCCAACACTCATTTATGATTAAAATACTCAACAACTAAGAATAGAATGGAGCCCCTCAAACTGACAAAGGGTATCTCAAAGTACCCATATCTAATGTTATTCCTGGTCATGAGAGACTGAAAGCTTCCTCTCGCTGGTCAATGATAAGACAGGAATACCTTGTCTTACAACTTACACTACAGCTTATGCTACAATTGTACTTGATTTCTAGCCAGGACAAGTATTCAAGTAAAGCATACAGATTGAAAGTAATGAAGTAAATCGATGTCTTTTTGCAGAGGAAAATCTAGTTTATAAAACATCTCAATGAATCCACAAAAAACAACTCTTAAAGTTAATAAAAACAACCAGCAGAATTGCAGACTACAAGATCAGTATAAAAAGTCCATTGTAACTTTATTTAAAATAGCACCAAAAATAAAACATTCTAAAATAAAGTTAACAAAAGAAATGAATATATGTACGGTGAAGGCTCCAAAGCATCATCGAAATAAATTAAGGACCGAACTCAATGAAATCTATTATATGCTCATTGATTGGAATCTCTATATTGTTTAGATGATAATATACTCTAAGTTGATCTACAGATTCAACACAATTTCTATCAAAAAGCCACCTTTGTTTTTGCAGTAAGTAACAAAATGATTCTAAAATTCATATGGAAAATTGAGGTAACCAGAATAGAAAACAAAAACTTGAAAAATAATAATTTTGGAGAACTTATAAGCTCTTATTTCAAAATTTACTATAAAGATAAAGGTAAACTGGAAAAAACATCAAAATAGGAAGATAATCTTGATTATCTCTATGCTAATTATTTTAAATTTAAATGAAATCTTCAAATACCCAGAAAAATGGAACATCCACAAAGCTGGCCAAGAAATAGAAAATCTGAAAGGTCTAAAATTCATTGTGGAATTTAACATTTCAGTGAAGAAATTCCTTCAGACCATAATTCAACATAGTTTACAAAATATTCAGTAATTCCAGATTTATAAAACCCTTTCGGAAATTAAAATAAAGAGCGCTGCTCATCTTATTATATGAGACAAGTATTGCCTCCATTTGAAAACTAAAGAAATGAAAACATAAAAATATTATCATCCCCAAATGGATTACTTACAACTCTAACACAAATGTCAGTAGATTACCCTGTACAACTTGATAAGAACACTCTAAAATTTCAATGAAGATACAAAGGTCAAAAATAGACAAATTCTGAAGAAGCAAATTGTACAAGAACTCTCTTTACTGGATAACAAAATTTTTATAAAGTTGTAGCAATTAATATAATGTGGTGTTTCGATACAGAGAAGATTAGCATGGCCCCTACGCAAGGATGACACATAAATTCATAAAGCGTTCCAGATTTTTTAGTCATCATGAACAGATGAATAAAGGGCTCTTTTTATCACTATCTGAAAAATATAAAAAATGTTTTCCTGTCTTCAAGGAAGCTGAATATTTTGTAGCTGAAGGAATGACTTCCAAAGAGTTTGAATATGATCCTTTATAAAAGATAGCAGTCAAGAAAAAAAGCAATGATAAAGTAGGGGAAGCATCCCTCCCCTGGTTTACGATAAAAAAAGAAAAGATAAAATGGTTTTTCCACAATGATAGAGAAATACTGCAATAAACAGAATGAAAATCCCAGAATCATACCCATTTAAAAAAAAAGTAGATTTAAAACAAAACTGTCGCTGCAGCCGATGCAAAAAGTATGGCCTTTTCCATAAGCAGAACTTGGTAAATTTTATAGTCACGTTAAAAAATATATTTGTTTGCATTATTTATGTTTTACACACACACACATACACACACACACACATGCACACACGCACACACATAGATATACTTAAATTCCTAAAACATAGCTTCCTATTTCACATCATACAAATACAAGAAGTATTATAGATGTAAATAAGATCGGAAATACATCTTTTAGATTCTAAAATATTTTTATAAACTTTTGATAAGAAAAATCAACTTGAATCAGACTTAAAAAGCATTAACTTTAAGTGAAAATGCTGATAAATTTAACAACACTAGAATTAAGAACTTTTACTTATCAAAGGACAAATGGGTAGAAGAAAAAGGCACGCCGCAGGGAATAACATGTATTTATAGGCTGGGCACGGTGGCTCATACCTGTAATCCCAGCACTTTGGGAGGCAGAGGTGGGCAGATCACCTGAAGTCAGGAGTTCGAGACCAGCCTGAACAACATGATGAAACCCCATCTCTGCTAAAAATACCAAAAATTAGCCAGGCGTGCTGGTGGGCACCTGTAACCCCAGCTACTGAGGAGGGTGATGCAGACAAATCCCTTAAGCCTGGGAGGCTGAAGTTGTAGTGAGCAGGGGTCATCCATTGCACTCCAGTCTGGGCAACAAGAGCGAAATTCCATCTAAAAAAAAAGTATTTACAAAATATGTAACTAGCAATATGTTTACATTCAGAAAATACGGAATATGAAACCTTTACAACACTTCTGAAAATAAATTTGCATAATACTAAATGTGAATAAATTTACGTTCTATAACTCAGAAATACTATTTTCAAATATATTTCCCAACAGAAATATGTTCACGTGTGCCTGAAAATATATGTATAAGAATGCTTAAGACAGTATTTTTCACTGAAGTCATAAACTAGAAAAATTACATCAGCAGTGTTACAGATAAATATATATAAATATATAAAAATATATTCATTCAGTGCAATACAGAAATCACAACGAATAAAATATCACCCATGCAACAAAATACGTGATTCTAAATAAAATATAAAACAGCTAGAACTCTGCCTTTATAAAAGAAAAATAGAAAAAAAATTGCACTCCAGTTTTAAGGAACACGTGAGAGTGTAATATTACAAGGAAAAGTAAGTCGGGAATTTTCATAAAAGTCAGGAGAGAAGAGATGGAGAGTAAGCCCTTGAAGCACTTCTACAGGGGAGTGGTGGCATGTGGGGTTTCGTGACTTGTGTGGTGCTGTGTTTATTTGTGATAATGCATTGGGTTTTATTCTGTTTGTCTGTTTATCTATCTATCATCTATCTATCTATCTAATTATTTATTTTTTAGAAAGGAGCTGGCTGTCACCCAGGCTGGAGTGCAGTGGGGCAAACTCGGCTCACTGCTGCCTCGACATCCTCAGCCTTGGGACCTCCCAGGCTCAGGTGATTCTCCCACCTTAGTGTCCCAAGTCTCTGGAACTACAGGCGTGCACCACCACACAGCTAATTTGTGTACGTTTTAGTAGAGATGGGGTTTCATCATGTTGCCAGACTGGTATCAAACTCCTAGACTCAAGCCATCTGCTTGCCTTGACCTCCCAAAGTGCTGGGATTACAGGCATGAGCCACCGTGACTGGCCCTTTACTTATTTTTTAATTGACTGATGAGACTTACATATTTATGGTGTGCAGCATGACGTTTTGAGGTGTGTTAATATGGTGGATGGCTAAATTCAACCATTTAATGTAAGTATCACCTAACGTATTCATCATTTTTTTCATAGTGACAACAGCTAAAATCAACTTTCTCAGACACTTGCAAGTGTACAATATATTATTATTTACGACTCTGGTCTCCATTCACGTAGTCACCATGATGTACGACAGATTCCTTGAACTTATTTCTTCTAAATAAAATGTTGTGAACTTTGACAGCGTCTCCCCACTCCTGCAGGGCCCAGCCTCTGAATTCTGCTTTTGAGTGTCTCTCTATATGTGTGTTATGGTTCACCAAAAGGATTAATAAAATGAAAGAAAAATTATTCGGTAAAGCTTAACTCCAATTTATTAAAAACAACAATTAGCTAAGTAGAAATAGAGTCTTTCCTTAGTTTAATAAACTGTAAACAGTATCTGTCAAACAAAAAATCTTTATATTTTACAGTTACATGTAGCATAAGAAACCAGAAACAATAGAATAGTGCACAGAAATACTGATTATGAATGATATTTACAGAATATTATCCAGTAGTAAGAACAGCAAGGCAAAACAGAAACAAGAGTCGTATGAATAGCAAAAGATAAAAATACCCCCAACAGCATTTACAGAAAAAATCAGTATCATCAGTAAGAGTTATCAACCGTAGGTCTGGCTATGCCATCAATATGTAAAATTATTTAAATTCCAAACACTAACATCAATTATTTAGGAAAAAAAAAATAATTAATAAATGATGCCTAATCCTGCAGGGGAATGAAGAAGAGCAGGCCCGACCATGCGTAAGTGGAGGGTGGCACACAGCGAGGGTGGCATTACAGAGCAGGTGAGAAGTAACGGGCCGTCCTACAAACAGAGCCCTGGCATGCTGGTCCCCTCATGAAAAAGTGGAAAGAGAAAGAGAGAGAAAGGGGAAAAGACGTAGCAGAGGCAGAGGAAGGACAGAGACGGAGAACAGAGAGGGAGGGTGAAAGAAGTCAGGAGGAAGAAGGGAAGAAAAGAAGGAAAAGGAGGGAGGGAGGGAGAGAGGGAGGAGGGAAGAAGGGAAGGGGGAAGGAAGGAGGAGGGGTGGGGGGGAGAAAGGGAGGAGGGAAGGAAGGAAGGAGGGAAGAAGGGAAGGAAGGAGGAAAGAAGGAAGATTGATTAAAGGCAATGTGAGAGAAAGATTTTATTAAATCTTTTAGAAGAAAGCATGTAATAGTTTTATTTCTGGATTCGAGGTTGGCAGAACGTTTGATTCAGAAAGCAGCTAGGTCATCTCCCAGGGCTTCCCTGCCACCCTAACCCAGTTAGTCTGACTTCTGCGGCATTAGGCTCACTAGGTTAGTCAGGGGGGGTGCCAGCACCTGTGGGCCTTCTCTGCAAAGCTGTTCACCTCCTATGAGGTGGTGGCGTTCTGTGCCCCCATCTCTGCAAATCTGCTGATGTCCTATGAGGTCTGGCACTCTGCCCCCTCCTCCCAGGAGGATTCCTTCAAATGGTGATAACACATTTCACATGCCGGGAGGCTTCTCAGGGTCAACACTGAAAACTGTCATGCGGGCCTGTGGTGTGGGCTTTATTATCTGCACCCCCGTTTCACCCAGGGCGCCCCTGCCCCATACTCTTGGGAGCCAGTGCATGGCCAGTGTGACCCAGCACCTCGATACGTGGTCACTGGGCTGTCTCCCGCCACAGCTAGGGCTGACCGGTGTCCTCTCCGCACTGACACGGTGCTGAGCTGCCTCTGTTTATTGTGACTAAGGAGTAATATGCTATTATTAGACTCTGTCCTCACAACTTGTAGGAAAATTTGCCCTTCAGGGGCAGAATCCTGCCTGGGATGGGGAGGCCTGGATGGGAGCCACCTCCGATCCACACTCTCAGGAGCTCTGCAGGAGCCTCCCAGGGCGGCACAGATGCTTGTGGCTCCACTGCTGCTGGCAGCTGCCCCTCTCCCTCTGACAAGCTAGAATGACTTCTGACAGAGCTCACAACACAGGGTGTTGCCCTTCCTGTTGCCGGGTGACCAAGAGTGCGTCTCCTCTGCACAGATGTTGTGTTGATGGGCTCCCGGCAGGTGCAGGGAGCCCCCATCCTAAGGGGGAGCCAAATGCTGCCCCCAGGTTTCCAATCTGTCCCAGGCCTTGTCTTCCCACCTAACTTAGCCTCAGAGAACACCTGCAACAGCACAGCGCCCAGCTGATATTCCTCTATCGCCATTCACATAGGAAGGTGAGGGTCTTACCATTGTCGTGGATTTTGGTATTATCTCTGGGCAGAATGATGGTGCTGACAGGCTTTCTACAGTCTAAGAAAATGAGAAGCCAGTGGGAGAAAATTAGGTTATCATAATGCAAAGGACGTTAACTAGGGAGATCAGATCACACATTTTTGGCCTAGACTGAGTTGGTTATTTTAACTGACATTGTTTATTATAAAAAAATCTAATTTTTAATGTCTTCCTTTAATAAGAGAGTATCCTTTCTGAAGTGATTTAGCTTTGAGTATTTCAGCTCATATATCATGCCTGATAAGTTTTTTCCTATTCAAAAATATATTTTATAGCTTATAAAATTATAAACATTTCTTTTGAGTAATACATTAGAGCTTACACAGTATTTTTACTTACATTTCCTTCTTGGTTCTCTTAGAGAGCTCCTGTTCTATGGCTTACAGGAAAAAGCCTGGAAGGGTTAAGTCAGATGTTCATATCATCCAAGGCCATAGCAGAAAAACAATTATTTATAATCCCATGTTAAGAAAGACGGTTAGGTAAGTGTCTGCACAGTTTCAGCGCCGCAGCGTAAAGCACAACTTTTGCCATTGGCTATTTTCATCTGAACGGTTCCATTGTTCAGACGGACATATTTCCACGTTTTAAGCTAAATGTAAACATAATAATTTTCTCATTAAGTTGAAGATAATTCATATCTAAGATA